TTAGCTATCAGTTTAATGACTTCTATAAACTTGTATTATTACGGAGGAAAAAATGGCTGATTACCAGGAAAACGTAAGTAGTTGTTGACCATTTTATGATTTAACTGATAGAGAATTTCATGCTATGGTTGGCAGCTGGCTGGATAGGCGTCATGATCTTGACCTTTACCTTTAATTTCGAGGAGTGCGACCCAGATTTAATGTTAAATACCCCCTGCTCAGAATATTATTCAGTCCGTAGCTTTAATAAAATGCTTGTAATATCAGACACAAAATATTTTTCAATTCTTCACTGTAATATTAGAAGTTTATCTAAAAACCTAAATCTATTAGAAGAACTATTATGTGCTGGAAACGATCCACGATCTTAAATTTGCAGGGCATTGAGGGGTAGAGTAAGATCACTACACTAACGAGGTTACAATCAACGATAAGTTAAAGAGACAAACTATTTTCTATTTCACTTTGAACATTTCATCCAGCTTCGTACCCCGGACACCCAGGGCTCTCGGTTTAAACTTGCGTCAGGAGAACAGGAAGGCCGCCTATGATTGTTACGTATATCTCGTTGGTTCCGGCCATCGCCGCGTAAAGGATGAACAAACAAACTGGCGTCGGTAAAATAACCTTTGCTTCTCTTCCGAATTTGAGGGAAAAAACCCTTGAAGAACCTCTTTGACAATGACTCTGAATGCCGCGAGGATTGTAAATATAATAACGAATGTAACAATCATTGTAGTATAGTAGTGAAAGTGTTTTTGCAGATGTCGTGCGATGAATATCCCTTCAGACCAAAAAGTTGAAAAAAAATCTTGCGCTAAAAGGAGGGCGGAAAGTTAACAACTTGGTCAAAAATAATACACGCCCCGGAGTATTGTTAAATCCATTCCTTACTACAACCGCTCAGTATATTTACTACTTGTCAATACTAAGTACGTAAGAGGGTATTTACAGGGTACAGACCATACTTGTTGCTACTTCAGCTTGAATAAAGCAGACAATATCAGTCGGTTCTAAATTCAGGATATAAACTTTACCACCATAAACTGAATGAGGACTATATAGAAGTTGTACGTTAATTCTGCATAGCTCACTTCTTGAGTGCACGTAAATGCTGCATGAAACACTCCCTTAATCATCCAACTGGCAAAGAAGAGCCACACCACGCACGATCCAATGGGACTGTGGCTGATCACATGGCAGGCGCATGTCCATCACAAAGTTAGTGGAGTGGCCTGTGGTAGAGAGCGTACCTCTCCTCTCGCTTGTTTTGTAAACAGGGGCGACATAGTGCGGCCGATCAACAATGTCTTCCTTCTTGCAAAGTTTGAGCCACAAAACTGGCATGCTTCATACAAAGCTTTCGGGTGCGACTCTGCAATCACTATCTTTTCTCGATCCCATCGACAGCCTTCCGTGAACAAGCCGTTAACAAAGACACCGTCCTCGGGTGGAGTTTCGTAATTATTGTCGCCAAGAACCTCGAAGACAAACATTAGGAGATCAATAGGAATGGTGTATTTTCTCGAGTAGTTCTGCTTCGATCCCGTTAAGAAGGCCTGAGTGAAGAAAAACCCAGACACCCAGAACATGGGAGGCACTCCATTGTCATACCACTCTTGAAGAAACTTGAGGCGAGCAATCAGTTCATTGACGTAACTGCCGAGTGGTTTAAGAGATGGGTAGGACTTCTTCATCTACAGACCAGGGATTTTGCCTTTAAGGATGCCGCCCGCCACCTCCTCTAGTTCAGAGGGCATACCAACCAGGCCCTGTGGAACAATGTTTAGGGGTCATATAAAAGGTCGGGTAAACCGTCTTAGTGAGTCCCATTCCTAAACACGAAGCGAAAACTACTTCCTGTAAGTGCGCCTACCCCGTAGAAAAAGGAGCAAAATATATACCCGGCAGGGAGGGGTAAGAGGAAACGGTAACATGTCTCGGGTAGATTTCCTAGACACAAGTGTAATGTGCAACATATCACCCAATATCGCACACAGATGAACGCAACATGATTTGAAATAACGGAGGTTGCCTTGCGTACTATTTCCACCTTAGGGGAAACTGTATTTACTGCTTTCAGTCAGCGACAAGTTCGAGAGGGTCCAGTAATACAGTCAACTCTCTTTAAACAGACATCAAGAGTTAGTCCCTGTCTTATTTGACCCTCTATGCATTGGACACCTAGAGTAAGTCATTTTCAGTCATTTTCTCTGACTCTCTATAAGGCGCGCAGACACTTCCCGTCGCAATGGACACGGTCTGCCCTAGAGACTGTAAAGGAATAAAGATTCTACTTCACGTCTAGTCAAAACTTCAAACAAGAACTCTATAAAGATAGCTATTCAATTTATCTGAAGGTTCACTCACCTTAACAGCTTTCTGTATGTTCATAAGCGAAGATCGCACGGCTTCTCGTCAGCCTGTTAAACCTGACCATTTCCTGCACCAATACCGTGTTCATACTCTGCGTATAGGTGGTGGGGTATTTCCGTAGTGCCGCTTCCGTGTCAAAGTTCTTGTGTAAAATATCCTCAGCCACCCCAAAGAGTACCTCGTCGTCGGATTTTCCACCTTTGGCGGAAGCTCGAGACTGCGTCAAAAGGATGCTGTTGAACAACTGTTGGGTTCCCTGTTGGTTGATGTCTGCATTTGTCGTGCATTCCAAATACCTCAGGATGCGCAATGAGCGAAAGGCTACGTCCATACTCGATGTGCAAAGCGCAGTCGCCTTCTTTAGGAGCAAAGTAGCTACCTCTTGGCGAAAACTTGTAGTCTTTATTGTCTATGATGACCGCGCAGTAGAACTTATCCTGGATTGTCAACAGGGTTCGTCCATCACGTTACACGGCCTCTGTAGTTGCATTCTCCCGTGAGGTTGCTCAGAGGGGCAAACTGGGCGTCCTGTAACGCAAAAACATGCACCAGCGCACACTAAAACAGTAAGGACGAAACCTATATACAGGCGATTCGCTCTGACCGAACACCTCTAATTAACAATTATTCCACGAGTGCGCGTTGGCTGTAATCATTTCATATCCAAACAAGCGCGAGTGGAATAATTGCTTTATTAAAAACGCCCACAAAATATCGAGAATTCTTCCCGACTTTATTTGTAAAAACAACCGATTATCAGTTTGTTTTTAATTTTGAGCAGTCGCGTACGGTTACCATTTTTGGAGAGCATGGTATAATGGCTCATATACCATAATGGCTAAGCCAATCAGAGCTCTAGAATAGCATTATCCAATGATTCAGGTTTTAATAATTACCTGATAATGATGCCATTCTGAATAGAGAAACTGTCAGTTGGTAGCCCAGCTTGTTCCAGTCCCTTATCTTCACAGGGTCTCCCAAAGTCTCCGGTCACCGAGAAGTCATTCGAACAGGGGATGTTGGTGTCACGGAAAGCTTTCACCCATTGTGCAGTTTGTTGCTGAAAAGAGAAAATACTTCCTTAAAACAACAGAAATCATTAATCTCGCTAGCGCAAGAAGTGAGACTCATAATCGGCAACGCGTTTTTCTTCGTATTTAGGACACAAAAGGGGAGTCACGTAAAAGAACACAACGAAGGCGTGAAAAGCCAAATTAAAGACATCAAGGAAGACATAAACAAGCTCGGCCACGATGGCTTTAATGTCGAGGTCAAGTTGGATGAGCTCGAGCAGTACGCGCAAGGAGACTGTCTCGAAATAACCGGTATTCCGGTCGTACCTAATGACAGCCCAGCGTTGCTGGTGAAGGAAATGTCTGAGATTATGGGAGTGAACCTCAACGAAAACGATATATCGATCGCTCATCGTTTACCGCTAACGAAGAAAGTGAAAAATCGACTAATTGTCAAGTTCACTCGAAGAGAGAAAAGAAACGAAATTTACAGCAAGAGGAAAGCACAAATTCATGGCAATGAAAGCTTAACGCCATACAGAAAACGACTACTGGGCAGAATCTTACAATTCAAGCGCGACCACAACTACAAGTTTATGTGGACGGTTAACGGTAAAATAATGCTGAAGAAAACGGAGAGCTCCACTACGAAATGTTCCGTAACCCATGGGGAATTCGAAGAGTTTCTTGACGAGCTCAATTAATTAGCTATCAGTTTAATGACTTCTATAAACTTATAGTATTACGGAGGCAAAAGTGCCTGATTACCAGGAAAAGGTAAGTAGTTGCTGACCATTTTATGATTTAACTGATAGAGAATTTCATGCTATGGTTGGCAGCTGGCTGGATAGGCGTCATGATCTTGACCTTTACGATCTCCTCCCAAATCCAAATAAATTCGACGAGTGCGACCCAGATTTAAATACCCCCTGCTCAGGATATTATTCAGTCCGTAGCTTAAATAAAATGCTTGTAAATTCAGACGCAAAATCTTTTTCAATTCTTCACTGTAATATTAGAAGTTTATCTAAAAACCTAAATCTATCAGAAGAACTATTATGCCTCCTTGACTCCAAGCTGGATTTACTTGGAATTACAGAAACTAAATTAGGTGAGAAGTCTATTTCTAATGTAAATATCCGAGTCAAAGGCTATAATTTTTTTCACACGGACTCGCCAACAAAACGCAGGTGGAGCTGCTTTATATATAGCTAATAATCTTAAAGCTGTACCTAGGCCTGACATTAAATTTGACGTAGCGCTAGTTGAATCCTGCTGGGCAGAAATTGATGCTGGTAAAAAAAAAGATCATAATAGGTTGTATCTACATAGACTACGAGTAGTCCCCCATTTGTCCTCAGGGATAGTAGAGCGAGCGACATGCGAGCGCGCGTGAAAATCACCCCACGCGAGAAAGGCGACTCTCTCCCCGCTGCGTGTCGCCTTTTCTCGCGTGGGGTGATTTTCACGCACGCTCGCGTTTTGCTCGCTCTACTATCCCTGAGGAAAAATGGGGAACTACTCGTAGTCTAGTATCTACAAGCATCCCACTTGTAATTTAGAACAGTTTCGCAACCAACTAAATGATTATATAACCAAAATAATTAATCC